GCATTAGCTATCCAGCCTATTAGACCAAATCGCGTCAAAACCTTCCTCAAAAATCTCCATCCGACCCTGTCGAAGGCCTTCTCTGCATCCACCGACAGGGTCAGAAGGAGAGCTCCTTCCTGCTGGGCCCAGTCCAATATGTCTACCACCCGCCTTGTATTATTACATGACTGTCTTCCAGTTAGAAAACCTGTGTGAATGACCAAAGACAGAATCTATTTAAGTCTTTCTGATGAGATCGAAGCATATATTTTCATATCTATATTAACTAAAGATATTGGACGGTAGTTTGATGTATCAGTGTGTAATTTATCCTGTTTTAAAATGGGGATTATATTCGCCTTTAATAACTCTTTAGTGGCCACCCCCTTTGTTGCAAATTCATTAAAAGTTGCTGTCAAAGGTAGAATAACAGTTTTCTGAAACAATTTATAAAAAATATTCGTATATCCGTCTGGGCCCGGAGCTTAACTATATTCTAATTTGCCAATTGCGTGCTGGACCTCTGTCTGTTCAATCTGCTGATTCAAGATCTTTAGCTGTTCCGGTGATATTTTGAGATATTAGAATTGTTTAGTAATTAACTATTTGTAGAATGTTGAATTATCCTCCAAATTATTGAGACTTTAAAAAAAAACATTTTAAACACATTAGCAATTTCTTCTGGATTTAAATATGTCCTACCATCTTTTATTATTTTACATTTTATTGTCTATTTTTGTTTTCTTTAACTTATTAGTTAACATCTTATCTATTCTATTGTTCCTATAGTAGAATTTGGTTTTAGTCAACTTAAGTTTGGTTTTAGTCTACTTAAATTGGATTCTATTATGGATATTGTTGGTTTTAGTCTACTTAAATTGGATTCTATTATGGATATTGTTATATCTTTTCTCTATATATTTTAATTTTATTTTCTCTATCTATTGTAAAATTATCTTTATTTTGGGCAGTAAGATTGTAAAATTGAATGTATAAATCTGATATATTTAGTCTGCAGTTCTTTCTTTCTTGACTTGCTATTTTAATCCAGTAACCCGTTATTACTGTTTTAAAGGTGCTCCAAAGACATTCAAAAGAAATCTCTTCTGATACGTTTTCTTCAAAAAAATATTTAGACATATTATTAATATAGTCTATGATTTCTTTAGATTTTAATAAAATATAACTCAGTCTCCAAGGGGGAGGGGTTCTCTGGTACGTATCCTATATATCCACTATCACCATATCAAGTTCCAACCACGTATTATCTCTTATAGTAATTGATTTTATATTCTTTACTAGCTGGGTATCCTCCAAAATAAATCAAACTTTTGTATGTCTACTCATTACAGCTGTCTGTTTAACTAAAGTCTCATCCACAGACTGGCCTGATCCAATATACTTATCTATACCAGCGTCCAGCACGCAATTATAATAACTGGCCATCAATAGTATACCTAGTATACGTATTTTCTCTTTCCTTTCCAAATTTCTAACCAATGTTCTAACAGGAATTTTATTAGGTAGATAAATATTAACCAGCGTGTGATCCTGCCCATTTTATTGGCCCACTAGATAACATACCTCCCTTGTTTATCCAGTTTTTGATACTGGCAAGAACATTTACAATGTTTTGAAAAAAAATATTGCTACACCGCATTTCTTTTTATTGTCTATTGAAGCACAATATGTTAAAGGGAATTTACTATACTTCCACATATTTTTCTCCTCCTTAATCCAATGGGTTTCCTGTATGAAACCTATGTGTGCCCCTTCTCTAACTAGTGTATCATACAGGAATCCCCTTGTGTGTGGAGTATTTAGGCACTGAGCATTTATTAAGATCACCTTAACCATGCATCCACCTTCCCATTGTTTTGATCCGCAGCCACAGTGAACTTACAAATACAGACACATATACAACAATAAATAACAACAAAGTATACATACATCTAGAGCAAAAGCTCTAACTCCTAGAGAACTCATCTGTCTCCTAGCCCTGGGTACCCAATCTAATACCCTAAGGGAGGTAATCTCACTCCAATTCTACCTAATCCATCATTATATATAAAGATTAAAAGAGAGGAGATGAAAGTGAGGGCTGTCCCATAGGGGGAGGGGAAGGGGCTGAGCATGTACGTTCTCACCCCTTCTCCCTCCCCACAAACCACCCCCTCCCCACCATTCTTAGGGGAGACCAGTACAGAGAAGTGGGCAGAGGGATAAAAAAAAGTGGAGGCGGGGGGGAGGGGGGATACAGCAGTACTTATTTATCAATACATTTAATGCTATAGTTCTATTCTTTCAGTTGTAAACTTGCTAGTTTATCAAATACATATAACCATTCTACACATAAAATTGTGAAATTAAAAATTATAAGTGCGTCTTATCCTCAATCATCTAATCAAAACCAGTTACACACTTTGTGTCGTAGAGATTAGACCCTTAACCATGTCAATACTTTATAAACCCTAACTATTATTAACTCAAATTGCATTCATCTCATAGTGCTTATCTATTTGCTCTATTGTATCCAAGCCTTAATATCTCTTAACCCAATATATATAAATATAAATATAAAAAAATATATATTATATCCCATTCAATACACTAGAGTGACTTCTACTACTAATGCTACTAATTCTACTCATAGTGCACCTCTCCTCCTCCATCCAACGTCATCTCCCAAGTGGAGCCGAATGCGCATGCCGCGCGCATTAAAAACGCCCATAGGAAAGCATTTCTCAATGCATTCCTATGGACGTTCTGCATGCTCAATGCGATTTTCACATTGAGCGTCGAGGAAGCGCCTCTTGCAGCTGTCCGGAAGACAGCCACTAGAGGCTGGATTAACCCTGCAATGTAAACATAGCAGTTTCTCAGCTGAAGTGGTCTGGGTGACTATAGTAGTCCTTTAAATTAGATCTTCGAGATCTGACCTCTAAGTCGCAAATCTTTTCCTCTAAATCAATTAATTTTATCTCCAGCTTATTTTGCAAATCCTTCATATCTTTGTATTGAAGATTTCTTGCCTCTTCCTCCTCCTCTATCTTTTGTATTCTTGACACTATAGAGGATTTATTTGTTTTCAAATTTGAGAATTTCTCATTTAAATCACTTTTTAATTCCCTGACAACTACCTCCAAACTGGATTTAAGCAAATTGGGAATTCCTTGATTCCTCTTAAGCCTTAAACACAGTCCCAATATAACACCACATTCGCAAGCTTTAGTTGGCTATTACCTTGTTGTAGCGAGGGAATCAGCGTGTCAAAGACTCAGCGTTTTCCAAGTTTCAGATTAATTCCGAAGCTCCACTCCAATCTTTATTGCAGTGTTACTGCTAATGGCTTCTGCAACCGTCTTTGCAATAAATCAATCTGGCATCCAAACTCCTCTTTCCTCTGCTTCTGGCTTCCCCACGCTTCCTTCTTGCTCGTTTACAGCACAGGTGGACTTTATGTCAAATGTAACTCTCAATCTCCGTCCTATCTCACCGCTCACACACTCTCGTCTCCCACCTCTACGCTCATATCCCTCATGGTAGCATATCGCCTCCCCTCCTGGCGTGCACTTATGACAGCCTACGTCATCACCTCCATCCGAGTGTGTTACTTATATTCTTTTTAATTCATTTTGCAATAAAATTTCTTTTTTATTTTACTTTTGGACCTTCATTGAACATCTTATATTGGAGAAGCTACATCTCACATTCCTGGGTGGGGGACAAACCACCTATGTTGTTAAGGATTGAGCAATACCTATCTGCTCATCCTTTCTTATTGTATTTGTTTTATAAAAACAGAGAGCACTATTTTTTTTCATATTCTTCGCATATCACTGGAGCATCATACTGGATAAACAACATGGATTATCGGCATAAAGATACAATACCAGAGGGGAACAGGACCACAGACGGGGCTTATACCATACCAAATCTAATCCCTAATTACGTGCAATACAGTTGATGTTATCTATTTACTTACCTGTCCTTGAGGTTATCAGTATGTAGGTAATCAAGATGGTCTACAATTTTTAGGAATAGATAGAATTAAATTCCATTGGAGTGGGGGCTGTAGAGATAATATTTTGAGTAAATCAGAGATGAGATGGATGTTTAATCTCGAAAAACATTGACTTTTGGAGGCTTGAACGTAGACTTCAAAGTTGCTTCCTTTTTGTAGTAATACGTCATGAACCTAGAATGCCAAGTTGATCACTGACCCGGAAAACATCATACCCAGAAGTGACACATTAGGAAGTGACGTACCCGGAACTCATTGGTGGAATGAAAAAGACGTGCCTTTTTTGAAGATTTAAAAAGCGGCTCTGAGCCGAGGAGGTTATGAAGCACTTTCATAAAGACTTTTACGTTGAAACATTTGCATTTTAGAGATCGTTACTATCATATATTGATTTTAATTTACTTTAATAAATCTTTTTCCTGGTTACTTTCTACCATCCTTATTTTGTTTTTACAGCAATTAAAGCATCAAAGATCCTATATTCAGTTGAATATTCACCAATTCGATTTCCACTACACTCTACATACCTTTGAAAGGCTTTGAAAGTCTGAGCCTACTAATATGTGGCTCAGCAATTTGTAAGTGGGACCATTTTGTGTTTATTTGTCTATTTATTGTATAAAATACAGATTTCACTATGGTCTGCAATTCTTTGTCATTTTAGGTTTTACCAACTAAATGGTAATATTGCAAGAGTGTGGATTGTACACATATTAAGAATTTTATAGTGTGCTCTCACCTTTTATTCTAATATTTTTACACTGTATTTTGTGTGGTTGGGTAACCTACACCAGGTGATTGTAGCACCATACTTAATTTTATAACCTTTTATATTTTTTGTTATAGTAGCAGTTACAGTGCCTAGAGTGACCCTTTAACTCAAATCCATGGTATTAGGGAATAAATGGTGGCTATTAGTGATGTCCCGAACGGTTCGCCGAACGGTTCGCCACGGACTCATCATTGAGTAAACTTTGACCCTGTACCTCACAGTCAGCAGACACATTCCAGCCAATCAGCAGCAGACCCTCCCCCAGACCCTCCCACCTCCTGGACAGCATCCATTTTGCATTCTTAGTGAGCTGTCCAGGAGGTAGGAGGGTCTGGGAGGGAGGGTCTGCTGCTGATTGGCTGGAATGTGTCTGCTGACTGTGAGGTACAGGGTCAAAGTTTACTCAATGATGAGTCCGCGGTGAACCGTTCGCGAACCGTTCGGGACATCACTAGTGTCTATCTATTTTTTAGAGGGTTTGTCCTGGGTTGGTTTTTGGCCTTAGTTATTTTTTTCACAAATTAAAAAAACAAAAAAAAATATAACCATGGTTAATAATCCAAAATAAATCATGAATTAAAACAGAGTTTGCAATTGTAGAAGGGCTATAGATACAGTTTTACAGAGATTTTATTTCAACTTGCAATGCATTTAAAAAGAAAAAAAGATTTCAGCTCTATTAGAGGGTCTGTCTCTAAATATAAATACATATTAAATAATTAAAAATGCCTTGGCACAAATACATCTGGCACCAGATCAATGAAGAAGCTACGTATATAGTGTTGCAGTCTTTTTTGTGATTAGTTTATTTTTATTTTTTTTAAATAGAATTTTTAAATCAAACAATGCAGGGAGACAGTCTCATTAAAAAGCCATTTTTTAGATCATTTGTCAGTGTTGCATGTCATGGTATAATGTACTGAAATACTTTCATATATTCAGAGTTAAAGAACTCCAGGAAAAGACATTAAAGTAGGTTGACATTCTAAATGTGCATGGAAGCCCTGTGTCCTTTCCTTTTGTTGCTAAATAGTGCTCCTTGGGCTTTTAATAAAGGTTTGCCTTAATCTTTTCTTGCACAAAGAAAAAACAGTATGGAAAATTTTAAAGCAGTAAATTCAATTAAGCCAAAGAACCAGAAAAAAACATATTATGCATGCTAATGAGGACTATAGCATGAATGTATAATCAGTTTTGCAGTGCTACCAGACAATCTCGAAAATTGCAAAGCCTGACATTTTTTGAATTTCATATTAGGAGAGATCGTGAATGGTTATATTGATGAGATAACTATTAAATACGTTGAGCAGTGTGATCTATATATACAATGATCTAGGGTCTAAGCTATCTTTTGCTTTTATAGCAAAATCCTTCATAGTGGTATTGAAAGGCTGTGCTATTTATTTAGTATTCAAACACTGTCATTGAATGAATATGACATTAATAGCATGCCATAATGTCATTTCAATCAAAATGAGCATATTGATTTGTTATTGCTGGAACAAAATCGTGCATTTCACTAAAGACTATTCAAAGCATTAGCAAATAGATTAATTTAATTCACACATTTAATGACTGCTATGCAATACAGAATAATCACTGATACCCATTAAAATCTATAGACCAAATATTGTAATGGTTTAATATTTAATGATAGTTTTTTTCCAGTATCCCCAAGCACTATATTTTAATGGGAAAAATGAAACATTTTTAAATTGCCTACAAAACACCATGTTTACTTTAGGGCTACTGTGATAAGCAAAAGTAACATTTTAAATAAGCTGTTAGGGTATAGAATAAATATTCGAAAAAGAGCATGATATTAGTGGTTAGTGGTTCTGGCACAATAAAACACAATCACTTAAGTCAACCATAATGGTTCAGTGGAAGGCGCAATACATTCTGTGGCAGGTAAATAACATTTGTAAAATGGCAATATATTTTTCTTCATTGTTAAAGAAATATGTTATTACTTTATTATCAATCACAATCTCAGTGATCCAATATCAGTAACGTAATAGAAAAAGATAGATACAATAAAAGGGTAGAGCTCAAGGTACAGATAAAACAATTGATAATTGGGTAGCACACCAGGGTAGTAAGGCTTCCTCAGAAGGCCTTACAGGTAGACAAAGCAATAAGGTAGAGGGTAGTAGATAGGCAGCGCAAGTAATAAAGAGCAAAGTAGATAAAAACAATAATAATAATGTAGTCTAAGTGATTAAAAGTCCAGTAGTAGAGTTCAAGAATGTCTTTTGGGGCACTGTATGTAGAGGCCAATGAAAATGTAGAATATGGGATAAGAGCTCCGTAAGTTGACGATGTGCTTACACTCCATGGAAATAATAGAGACAACTAATGGTGCAGTATATTCAACAATCAGGTGTTATTTTGGTAATAGTCTTATATGATCCTACTCACATTTTATAGAGCTAATGGACTAGCTCTAGTATGAAATGCGTACAGTGGTATAATCCCCACTTGCAGGATACGTGAGGTGATGTCTTGTCTGAAATAAAAAGGAACAGCAATAGTGTTCTCTGTTTAAAATCAGGAAAGCAGAAAATAAAATATAAAGTGGTTACTCACATTTACACGAACAGGTGGACTGCTCAGTGTATAGGGCTTGAGTGGTATAATGCCAACCTAGGATTCATTGGAGTAATGTCTCACTGGAACAGGATAAAACTCAGAAGCTAGGTAAAATAAAATAAAATAAATATTTTTGTAAAAAGTAAAAAGTAAACTGGCAACTCACAGTGAGGAAGTGACCAAAATACCTTTAATAAAATACAATACAGTTTAAAATGTCCACAACACATTTCGTCAGCAGGCTTTTTCAAATGGAAATGCAGAGAACATAATCTGTCAGGTCTGGGTTTATAAAGGGAGTGAAGCAGCTGGTGTGTTTTAAAAATGGCACCAAAATGACATCATAATTGCTTAATTAATGATTGAAAACAAAGTAAAAAATTCATATATAGCTGTATAGCAAGAAACTGTAAAATGTAGACAGAACAGATAAATATGTGGTAGTGAAAAACTGGGGTTACAAAGGAAGTAAGATTAGACCGAATTTTCAGTCATGTGATCGGCCATTTTTTTTTTAGCATCATGGGAGTTGTAGTATGGCCAGCGATATAGTCATTATGACGAAATAGGTGGGCGTGGATGCTTAGATGGGGCATCATAAGAGGGAGTGAGTGATAGGTAGAGGGTGAACGGGTCTCGTGATCAGCGGCCATATTAGCCGGGCTTTATGAGGGTTATAGTATGGCTGTCTTCATAGTGGCAAGGGGAGTGTATTAGGCGTTACTTAAAGGCATAGGATGAGAATAATCTCAGATGGGAGGGCATGTTGTAATAGCATTTTAAATATTTAGGATTTTTGTTGTGTGTAATAAAATGTTTTGATACAGAATGGTTGAGAAATCCTTTGCAGATTTTGCGGCAATGTTCTGCTAGTATTATTTTTAGGTATCTGGATGTCATACCCATGTATTGGAGACCACATGGGCACTCTAGAAGTTATATGATGTTTTTTGTATTGCAATTTATGATATCTTTAATATGATAAGTGGTATTAGTATTGTTAGAAGTGAAGTATGTGGTTTTGGATTTGATTTTTGGATCTGTTGTTCTACATACTATACATTTGTTGCATTTATAAAAACTTTTAGGTTGCGAGAGAAATGATGGGGTGTTAATAACAGGATCTTTAGTGTAGTTTTTTGTGAGGATGGTTCTTATATTGGGGGCTCCTCTAAATATTACACTGGATTTGTCGAGGAGTAGTTTGTTTAAAATATCATATTTTAAACTGTGCCAGTGTTTTGTAATATTTTTTCTTATAGTTTAGCTTTCTTCATTGAAGTTAAATATGACTGGCATAGATGGCGGCTCATTGTTGTGTTCGTCTTTGTAAATTAAGAGATCTTGTCTGTTTTTTTGTTTAATTTTTTTCGAAGGTTTTGTTTAGGTTTTGTAGAGGGTATGTTTTGTTGATAAATTTGTCTTTAAGGGATTGATCTTCAAAGTCTGTCATAAGGGAGCAGTTTCTGCTGAGACGTAAAAATTTACTTTTGGGGATTTCATCAAGCTATAGCTGATGGTGGCAGCTAAATTTGTCAATAACTGTATTGGTACATACTTTTAAAAAAAAAATGTTTTAGTATCTACAGTTCCATTTTGTATAAAAATTTGGATGTCTAAAAAGTTAATATTTTCCTTAATGTATTCTGAGGTTAAAATGATGCTGTTGTTATTAAGAGTAAGATGATTTAAAAATAAATTTAGTGCATCTTCAGAACCATTCCAGATAAAAAAAACAGGTCATCTATATATCTAAAATAGGTAACTATGTTTGCCTTCAAGGGGTGGCCACCCCAGATAGCCAAGGACTCCCAGTCATCCATAAAAAGATAACTGGGGGCAAACCTAGTTCCCATGGCTGTACCTTGTTTATGTATATAAAAAGAAACTAAAAACCAAAAATAGTTGTTGGTTAAAATTATATTTATACCTTCAATAATACAATTAATTTGTTCATCTGGGATATTGTCTTTTTTTTAGTCTGTTGTGCATCCTTTGTCATGGAGAATGATGGTATATAAGAATTGTACATCACAGGTGACTAGTAAGTTATTAGGATGCCAATTAAAATGATCTAAAAAATGTAAAAGGGTCATGGAGTCTTTTAGATAAGATCTCATGAGTTTAACGAATGGTTGTAGTAAAATATCGATATATTCTGATAAATTTGACAATATAGAGTTTATACCAGATACAATGGGTCTTCCTGGTCGGTTTTTGTGTCTTTGTGAATTTTACGGAGAATTAAATAACTGTAATTTTTGGATGGGGACATTAAGATATTCAGATTCTCTATTGTTTAGAATTTTAGTTTCTAGGTTCTTAACAAGGAATTGAGATAGTGTATTCTTGACAGTGAGGGTGGGATCTGATGGTAATTTGTTATCTACATTGGGGTCATTTAATTGTCTTAATGCTTCATTGATATATATAACTTTTGAAAGTATAACTAAACCACCTCCCTTGTCGGCTGGTTTAATAACAATGCTGTCATCTTTTTGGAGTTCTATTAGTGTTTTTTGTTCTGGGTATGTGAGATTATGATATTTGTGTGTGTTATTTTGTTATGTCATTTGTGTTTGATTTTGTCCAGAACTTGTAATACAAATTTTTCAAATACTGTTATAGGGCCTGATTTAAAATTTGAAGGGTTAAATGTTGAATTATTTTTTAGAGAGGTATTTACTATCTTGGGTTTAATTATGGGTTGTGGGATTTGTGACTTCTAGGGAAGCGTTGGTGACAGTGTTGGATTTAGTTGTAAAACATATTTTTTGTGTGACTTTCCTAACGAATTTGTTGACATCTAAAAATGCTTGGAATGGGTTGAAAGGGTTTGTTGGGGAAAATTAAAGGCCCTTACTTAAAACTGAGATTTGTGTGGAGGATACAATTTTTTTGTGAAAGATTGTCAATATCAGTTTCAGAGTCCATGGATAGTAACTGGTATCTGTTGGGGTGAATTTAATTGGTTGGAGGAGATAGGTGGGTGGGACTGTCTCTTTTGTAAGAGTATATTTGTTTTGGAGCCCTAGTTAACTTTATTTATTTTTTTAATCAATGGGGCCATTTTGGTAAAGTTTGTTATTAAAGGGATTCTCTAGTGCCAGGAAAACAAACCCATTGTCCTGGCACTGTAGAATCTTGGAGTGCCCCTCTCCCTCCTGTCCCACATCCCACATCTCTGAAGGGGTTAAAACTCCTTCAGACACTCACCTGAATCCAGCGCTGATGTCCATCGGCGGTGGGAAAGGCACCTCCCATGACCGAATGTGCAACAATGGCCATGCGCATGCGCAATAGACCTCCCCATAGGAAAGCATTCTTCAATGTTTTCCTGTGGGGATTCTGGAGATGCTGGAAGTCCTCATGCATAGCGTGAGGACGTCCAGCATTATTTAGACAACATAAAGTTGTCTAAGAAGCCGGAAGTGCCTGATAGACAGCCACTAGAGGAGGACTAAACACTGCAAGTTAATTATTACAGTTTATAAAAACTGCAATAATTACACTTGCAGGGTTAAGGTTTATGTGAGTTGGCACCCAGAAAACTTCAATGGGCTGAAGTGGTCTGGGTGCCTATAGTGTCTCTTTAAGTTTTAAATCCGGGGGGTGTGGCCAACTGCCGGACAAGATGGATGCATAATCCTATTCTCTGGCACGCGGACTGAAAATCCGATTCCATCCTAGCACACAGAGCCCATACTAAGCCTTTACAAGCAACATGTCGCAACACAAAACCAAGAAGACTGTGTCAAAAACGGAAAAACTGCATTTCTTCAGCCAAAAAGTGCTGCAAGCAAACACAGGCCTGCTACCACCCAGCCAAGATGGCGACGACGGTGCCGAGGAGGAGAGCACAGCACAAAGCCATCCTCAGACCGGGGACACCCTGACAAAAAAATTACCTAACCTAAGCACTAGACACCCTCTCCCGGAAGCTAATTGCATCGTGGCAAAGCTGTATAGACACGCTCCGAAAAGATGTCCAAGATATTGGCGGGCGCACATCCCACCTTGAATCCAAGATGGATGAAGTGGCAGTGGCACATAACGATTTGGTAGCGCATGTAGAGTCTCTGGAAAGTAAACTGCTACTCACCGAAGCCCAGCTGGCGGATATGGAGGACAGAGCGCGACGCAACAACTTGAGGCTGCGGGGCATCCCAGAGACGGTGTTGCTGGCTGATCTACAAGCATACTGAGTGCTGACGCTCCCGAGATTCCATCCGATATGTTGCTGCTGCATAGAGTGCACCGAGTACCCCGCCCGCGGCATCTGCCAGACTCCTTACCCAGGGACGTACTGCTGCGTGCTCATTATTTCCATATTAAGGAGCACATCCTTCGAGCCAGCAGACGCTCATCTAACCCCCCAGATGGCTATTCTACAGTGCAGGTCTTCCCCGATGTATCTGCTGCAACTCTCCGCAAAAGGAAGGACTTCGTGCCCATCACCGCTGCGCTCCGTGCCCATGGCGTGAAATACAGGTGGGGATACCCCACGAAGCTCCTGGTGTCACGAGAGGGGGCGCTGAGAGCCATCCTGACTCCAGAGGACGGACTTACCCAGCTGAAAGAATGGGGCATAAACCCGCAACTGGCTCAACACCTCGGCTCCGGGCAGACTCAGGCTGGACTGGCATGCTGCCCCAGGCAATCACTAAACCTTTCCCATCATGGCATGATGGGTCACGCAAGTATTGAATGCAACCTGCTTTTCACAAACTGGCATGGGAAATCTGTAAGGATCTACATGGCTTTGGTCCTCTGTCCCCCTTTTGACTCTACCTGAATGAGGGGAGACACGGCTCCATAGAGACAGTGCACCGACGGGACTGGAGGCACGGTGCCTCCCGGGCTTGATGCCCTCGGGGGCTTAGTGCCCTTATATGCCACCATCAGCAGCCTCACTGCCTGGGCGAGGCTCAGAGGGGCCCTGGGAGGGCCTCCTAACTTGCGGGGGGTAATCCAATGGGCACCTCATAGGTGCAAGACTTTAAGAACACTGTCGCTGTAGGTGTGAGGCCTTGAATCAGGCCTGGGTGATGGGTCCACGGGGGCCCTGGGGCCTTCCCTCTGCCGTCCCCTCATATGGGGGGGGACGCGCGGGGTGCCTCACGGCAGCAGACAGCAGCACAGCGAGCATGTCAAAATTGCAGATTAATGCTGGTCTGCTCCTTTCTAAATCGATAGTACTCTGATAGGCACACTGACCATATTAAGGGAAGATAATAGAATACTGTCGGCCCGGATTGAGAAAGGGTAGTGCCTACAATGTTGAGGGAGCCTGGGGGATGGGGGGGGCCGTAGAGTACACTATTGAAATACCCAGTAACACCACCCCTTCAAATAGCTAGTTGAGAATCCACACAGCTCTACGACAACTTAAAGCAGTCTTGCGAACACCCACATGCCGCCTTTAGACACTACCTACTACCTACTAATTGTTTCTAAACACAAAAAAAAAAACATGCTACAAAAAAGTTCTGTTCAACCCCAAAGGCATTACCAGCCCATATGCCACACCACAGGAGACCATGGTTTTCAGACCCCACGGTGCGCAACTAATGCACCAGTCCCCTTTCGAAGGGACTTTGTATATATCCCCCTTCTATCCAATCCCCCCACCATACCCAAGTTACATACTTCCTGATCGAGGCATGTTCAACCATCAGATACTTGAGATAACACTGCTCCTCCAGAAAAAAAAAAATCACCAAAGCTCCCTAATAGTGATGTCCCGAATGGTTCGCCGAATGGTTCTCGAACGGTTCGCCACGGACTCCAGTCAGCAGACACATTCCAGCCAATCAGCAGCAGACCCTCCCTCCCAGACCCTCCCACCTCCTGGACAGCATCCATTTTGAAGCTGCATTCTTAGTGAGCTGTCCAGGAGGTGGGAGGATCTGGGAGGCAGGGTCTGCTGCTTATTGGCTGGAATGTGTCTGCTGACTGGAGTCCGTGGCATACCGTTCGCGAACCATTCGGGACATCACTACTCCCTAACAATAATGAAACCTGAAGATACAAACGATTAATGCATGCGGTTTAAACACTCCGCACAAACGTCGGGTCTTTTTAGACTCAGCCAGAAAAGATCGAGTGGACATCTTGTGTGTCCAGGAGACACACTTCATCCACACGAAAATTCCCACCGCAACAGGACTACCCTTTACAATACCATTCTACACATTCCACCAAATCCAGAGGGACCTCAATATTTTTCCATAAATCCCTGGCATTTGAGCAACTTCACATCAAAAAAGATCCCCAGGGCAGATACATCATAATATATTGCACCATAAATGATACTCACTACACTGTAGCTTTTTTTACATAAGGTCCTAACCAAAATACCTGCCCCGCAGCATCACAATCTCATTCTTTGTGGTGACCTTAATCATACCTTAGATGAAAATCTGGACACAACAGTCCCAGAACATACCAGGAGACATGCAGCCCTCCAGCCCCAATGCAGGGCCCTAACAAAGCTATTACTTGAATTCAATCATTATGATTCGTGGCGCACAGCGCATCCTAATTCTCACAAATACACACATCACTCTCGAGCCCACAATCGCGTATTGATTACATCCTCATAACAGCTCCTCTCCTTACTTCAATGACAAACTGCAAAATAGGAGATTTCACATGGTTTGACCATGCGCCGGTATCCCTAAAGTTACAAGATAAGTTCCGCTTCAGAGGAACTTCCCCATGGAATTTGAATGATAGAATCCTTCATGATTAGTCTTTCAAAGAAAAATTGGAAAAAGAATTGAACTTCTTCTTTGAAACAAACTGCACACCCCAATCACAATCCCCAAATATTTGGCTAACCCACAAAGCTGTTATTAGGGGCCACATAATCAGTCGTGCTGCATATCTGAAAAAGATGGCTCAGTACGAATATATCTCACTTCTCAAACAACTTAGGGACCACACAAGTGCCCAACTCATTTCTCCAACTAAAGAAGGTCAGACGAGCATCTACCTTCTCAATAAACAGATCAACAATCTCCTATTTCAGAAAACGACCCACATGCTATCTAAATTAAAAATGAAGCAATACTCACAAGGCAACAAGGCCGGGAAGGCCCTAGCGGCTTTACTAAGGCAAAAGCAAACCCAATCTAAAATACAACACATGTTCACCTCAGAAGGTATTAAACTTACTAATCCTCAACATATAAATGACACTATGGCGGATTTCTATAAAAAGCTCTATAATCTACCTATAATCTAAGGATGACATAACACACCAGCCCACGAACCAAGAAATACAAGATTTCTTAACTCAAGCGCATCTTCCATTGCTAACCCCATTGCAACAAGCTATGCTCCAAAGCCCGATCACCAGTGGCGAAGTGGAAAAAGTCCCAGACGGGTTCACGAACCTGTACTATAAATGCTTCAAATCCACATTATCCCCACACATAGAGAAATTGTTTACTGCCATTATAGCAACGGGTCATATGCCCTCAGAAATGCTACAGGCTCACATAGTGACGCTCCCCAAACCAGGGAAACCCCCAACGAAACCTCAAAATTTGCGGCCTATATCCCTATTAAACACAGACACGAAACTGTTAGCGAGGATATTCGCCGATAGGCTTTCTACTATTATTCCCTCAGTGATACATTGTAATCAGGTGGGATTCGTAAAGGGGAGACAGGGCTCTGATGGAACTAGGAAACTACTAAATCTAATGTCGCGAGCCAGGGCCTCGGGAAGACCCAGTGTGTTCCTCTCACTGGACGCGGAAAAAGCGTTTGATAGAGTGCACTGGGGATTCCTTGGGGCCACGCTACAGAAGTTTGGCTTTCCGCCAAACTTCATGTCGCTGATCTCCGCAATGTATTCTACCCCATCGGCACAAGTAACCAACAGCGGATTCAGCTCATCAGGATTTAGCATCACCAACGGATCCCGCCAGGGATGCCCGTTGTCACCCCTGCTGTATATTTTGATACTAGAGCCACTAGCACAGCAGATTAGAGGGAATACAAATATCAAGGGCATACAAATTGGGAAGGCCAAACACAAACTTACAATGTTCGCAGATTACATCATGCTGTCTCTCGAATCGCCTACCACAACACTCCCACACCTACACAATATCTTCACCAAATACAGCGCATGCTCATACTACAAACTTAATATCACAAAAAAGCAAGCAATGGGCGTGCACATTTCGTCGAGTACATTGCAGACTCTGAAAATAAGCTTTCCGTATGACTGGCGCACAGACCACCTAACATTCTTGGGAGTAGCCTTAACAAACTGAAGGGTCAGATTTTGGGATGTCTCCTGGTTGGGCCGCATCGCTGCAACAAAAATGATTCTCTAGCCCAAACTCCAATATTTATTCCGCTCCCTTCACATCAAACTTCCAAAATCCTTCTTACGGGAAGCTCAGGCCCTGCTGAACACATTTATATGGGATAACAAAAATACGAGAGTAGCAGCGTCCACATTATACAAACCCTTCAAACAAGGAGGTCTGGGGATGCCGCACCTTGACACGTACTACTCTGCATTGATATTAAGCTCGCTCATCATGGCATTCCACCAGGAGCCTCGAGGTGGAGGCTACATTCACAGGAGGACAGGATATCACCACACTGACTTGGATACCACGGCACATCAGACTCTACTATAGGGACATGTTGCCAACCACTAGGCTTACTTTGTCCATTTGGGACATGCATATAGCCAAGTCATGGTCATGGCCGGTGACCCATCCATCGCCGGCCCTGAAGCTCCAAGCTCTCACAACATTAATCACCCATTTCAGTGCAAAAAAATGGGCTGTACATGGAATCACATCCCTTCATCAAATGATTGAAGATAAGGCACTGGTCCCATTCACACTCCTCCAGGCAAGGTACCGAATACCAAACTCCCTAAATTACATGTACATGCAAATAAAGTCTTCGTTTCGCAAGCACCATCCCCAGACAACTCATCTAAGCAAGACAAGCAATTATCCCCTCTTGAGCATTCGTGCACACAAAACAGGCCCCCTTCCAAACCAATTTCCCTTCTCTACCACACAATCACACAAAAATTCTACACAACCAAACCCTCCTTCATCCAGGCCTGGGAACAGGATTGTAACATAAGGCTAGAGGAATCCCAATGGGCTAGTATATTCAGGGCAAACAAAAACCTGATGCTATGTTCCACGCACATAGAAGTGTCCAGGAAGTTGTTATACCGCTGGCACATTACCCCTGCCAAATTGAAACATATCAATCCAACAACCACAGGAAAATGCTGGAGGTGTAACGATTACCTTGGTACTGGCTACCACATTTGGTGGACATGTCCGAAAATAACACCATTCTGGACACAAATATCACAGCTCATAACATGTACTACTAAGGTTTGCTTTCCCACTAGACCTGTTCAATTTCTGCTCCAATTACTTCCACAAAACACGACCAAATCAACCAAATATTTGATATACCATATTCTAATAGCAGCCCTGCAGACGATCGGCAAAAACTGGTTATCTCCCCACATGTCGCGGCTGCAGACATGTGTCCAATATATAGAGACATCTAAAAAATATGAAACCATGGCCAGGAAGGCTGAACAGACTCAGAAATTTTGGATTGAAGCATGGGACCTATGGGATCAATTCATTAAAACGAAACCCCGACTACTTCAGGACTCTACTGA